GTTAAATATACCTTATCTACCCCTAAAGGGTGTATATTAGTACCTTTAAAGGGATAGTTCACCCAAAAATTTACTCAACGCCATGTCATTCCAAACCCGACTTTCTTTCATCTGTGGAAAGTAAATGAAGATAATTTGAAGAATGTTTGGGTCAGTGGGTTGGTATAACTAAAATATAAAAATTTTCTGTAATTGAAAGAAAGCTGAAATAAAATATAAATAAATTGAGAGCAAACAGATTTTAAGTATGCAAGTCTCAATATGAACTCAAACACCAAATTCTCGCATGACCACATGATCTGATTTATGCTATTCATTAGGCTTGCCGCGATAGATGGTGTTGACAGTGATACCGGTGTTAAGCTGCAACACCGGTTACGTCACTTGCCCACCGCGGCACCGACCCCCACCGTCGTTTTGATTTTTTATAGAAATAAAAATCATTTAGTTCAGTAAAAGAGGAAAAGAGGGAACGCCCCGCCCCCACGGTGATACCGGTATTACCGGTGTTGTCACACGTCGATTAACCGGTGGGAAAATTTCCTCACCGTCACAACCCTACTATTCATATTAATTTTATAACTTTATACTCTTACTGGAATTTTAAGAGAACAACCTGAGACAATGTTGATGGTTAAATGAAATAAATGAGAACTCAATTAAGTCTCCTGTGCAAAAACAGAGCAACCCCTGACCATTTTTCCTCTGTCAGCAAGTCCAAAGCTAAAATAAAATAAAATAATATATTCAGCAGGCTGAAATGAAATATAAATATTAGATGAAACTTATCAATGAAAATGAGAAATGTTGCCTTGGCAATTAACAGAAATAAATAAGTTGAAGCAAAATTACAAAAACTAAAACTGAAATAAAAGTTAATTAAGCTATATTAAAATAATTCTAATAAAATAAATATAATTAAATACAATAAATATAATTTAAAAATAATAATAATAACAGTGACAAAAGCACAGAAATAACTTAAAATGAAAAATATTATAATAAAATAATAAAAATATAAATTTAAAATGAAAATGAAAACTGAACCAATAAAAATAAAAGCTAATTCAAAATATTATAAATATAATATAACTGTAAATAAGTATAAATACTAAAATAAAACTGGTTAGGGTCAAAACGACAATAGATCCCACTTACTTTCACTATATGAACAATAAATAACAATAAATAATACATTTTCAGAAAGTCATTCATGCAGGTTTGGAAACCCAAAGAAGTGAGTAAATAAAGACAGACACCATTATTTTTGGTTGAACAATTTGGTTGCAAATTACTACTTTAAGGTGAAAGCAATAAAGCCTAATTTCTTTCTTTTCTGTCTTTCTCTTTGCTGCTAATTCGAAATTGGCTTCACAGATGCTTTTCTGTACACATCTCTTGGCTCCATGAATCAGAGCCAAATAACACAACATGAAAACTGATCTGTGGAGGAATTCAGACCAAACTACGCACATGCTTCTCATCTCTCGCAATTCATCCACAATGCCCTGTGCATAAGCTTTGATAGTAAAACTAAACCAAAAAAAAAAAAACATGTTTTCAATTTTAGGCCATCTCCTACACTGTTTTCTTGCTATAATGGTAAAAAAAAAGCTGCTAGTGCTTGCAATAGAACTCAAATTAACCCTGTAAATCCTGACATATGTAATAATAATCAGAAAAAAGTATATATATTTTTTAAACGGTTAAAGAGTATATTAAAACTTTAGACAAAATCTTTAAAAAAAAATCTAAAAAGTAAAAAATTCTAAAAGTTTGTATTTTTTGTTGAGTACCGTATTTGATACATCAGGTTTTTATGGCTCATGTAGTATATTATAGTGAGAATATGGAGATCATACTTGAGGAAAAAAACACCTAAATTTTATTCAAAGGCCCAAAATGAGCAAAAATATGAAATTCGGTACAGTTGCTGATATTCAAGTAGCCAAAAAAAAAGATGAAATTCTGATAGCTTGCAACAGTATAGCAGATACTTACATAAAATGCATATAAATATCAGTTGCCACTCTATATCTCCCAATAATATCTCTTAGTAAGATGATATTTAAATACTTAGTTTAGATACTGTTCATAATTTGAAGGCCTTAGAAATTTGTGTATCAAATATGATACAGTAGGCATTATAGAGTTAAGTATGGAATCCACTGCAAATTGTAGCCAAATAACACAATGTAAAAAGAGACCTGCAGGGTCAACATGAAGGGAATCGAACTCGGGTTCAAACCAAACAATCAAACCGAGAGTGAAAACAGCCAGCGAATGCAGAAACACACCAAAATTCCCAGAAGTACAATTCAAGACAGACACATGAGCGGCTCGAAACAGGTAAGAGTCACATGACACATGCAGTGGGCCAGTGCACTTCCCATACTGACCTTCAGGTCCCTGTGCACTATGTCATGATGGTGAATGTGATTGACACTCTCTAGAATCTGATGGATACAATGACTGTAAGAGAGGAGAGGACAGAAGGGAAAGAAAAAGAAAAAGAAAGGATAAGGGGCGAGAGCCGTGACGGAGGTGGTGAGTTAGTCACGGGGAGACGAGCGCGGGAAAGGAACAACGTAGATTAGAGAGACTGTTTGATAAGAGTGATGAAATGAGACGAGTGATAACGGTGAAAGCCCTGATGTTACACAACGCAGAACAATAGCAGCGCAGCCGGACGCATCATTTCCTGTGAAGCTGCCGATCACATGTGGGATGGAGAAATGGAGGGAAGGGTGGATGAATCAAACAGAGTAGAGCTGAAGATCTGGAAATGATCCGTGTTTGTGTGTGTCTGGGTGTTTGAGAGAGAGCACGGCTGGTTTCTGAGATGCTGACGGTATTTTTAAAGGAACACTCCACTATTTTTGAAAATAGGCTCATTTTCCAACTCCCCTAGAGTTAAACATAGCCTATTTTCAAAAACAGTGGCGTGTTCCTTTAACACACATATCTAATACAGGCTCAACAGTAAAGATGGCCTGCTGACCCGGGAACAGTGTGACAGCGTTTTGGGCCAGTTGGGAGAAAAGTCACTTTACATTAAGTTCGGTGCTACACTGCCACTGAAAAACATTTGTTGATTTTGTATTAAATTTTATTTAAGCTGAAACATTTGGTTTCCTCTCATGTTTTCTACATTTCTGTTGCTTTGTCACTAAAATATGTAGCTACTTAACTTAAATTATTGAGGTTTTATAGAGGTTTCAAAACTGGAAAAAAGACTAAAAAAAGTCTCGGGAAGAATTATTAAGAAGGTATTAAAAATTACAAACCTATCAGTAATGTGCTTATGAATTTATGAGTTACATTACAGGTGAACATTTCCAGCTTCTAGCGAATTTTCTTTTTGCAAAAAAAAAGAAGAAGAAGAAAACGAAATTGTAAAAGACCGTCATGGAAAAAAAAATTAAATACATATTCAAATAATAATTCTTAAATATAATTAAATGTATTCATTATTTTATAGGTATATTCATTTTACATTTAATATTAAAAAATAAAATACAAGTTTGGGGTCAGTAAGTTTTTTTTTTTTTTTAAAGAAATTATTACTTTAATGCATCTGCAAGAATGCATTAAATTGATCAAAAGTGACAGTAAAGATATTTATAATAAAGACATTATAATGTTACAAAAGATTTATATTTTAAATAAACACTGTTGTTTTGAACTTTCTATTCATCAAAGAATCCTGAATAAAATATATCACGGTTTCCACAAAAATATGAAGCAGCAACTTTTTTCAACATTGATAATAATCAGAAATGTTTCTTGAGCAGCAAATCAGCATTAGAATGATTTCTGAAGGATCATGTGACACTGAAGACTGGAGTAAATGATCACAGGATTAAAATACATTTTACAATATATTCAAATAGAAAACAGCTCTTTTAAATTGTAAAAACATTTCACAATTTTTCTATTTTTACTGCATTTTTAATCAAATAAATGCAGCCTTGGTGAGCATTAGAGACTTTAATCAATCTTACTCACTCCAAACTTTTTAACAGTAGTGTATGTATTTAAAATTATTTAAATAAATATAGCTATAAATAAACATTGATAAAAAATGTATTGATGTGTCCTTAAAGCGATCGATCAGACTTGTAAACAATTAAACGGCAGAGACTTTTTACTTAGACAATCACCTAGCAACCACCCTAGCAACAGCATAGTAATGTGAAGAAAACCGTAATTTTCTTCAGAAAGTGTGAACATCCAGTTTCTGTCAGGGATTTCTAGTGCTATGGAAACAGATCAAACTCAAATAAAGCGAGTGTGCAGGTTTGCAGCACGTGCGGCGCTGAATATGAGCTGACACCGTAATTATGTGTGTTAATTAGAGGCCTACTTTCAGCAATTGCTCAAGTGGAGGCAGGTGGAGGGGCTACGGCCCTCGGGGACGGATACATTTCACCGTCCTGACGGCATCGTGACACCCACGAATATGGCTGATGAGCTCATGGATTCCAGTAGTTTCACCGCTCGCCAGCTCTTGTGTTTCCTCCCTCGGTAAGTATCTCTCGTTCTGTTTCTCGCCGTATATCTCACTCCCACATGCATACCCACACAGTCAAATTGATTAAAGCTTTTCTCCTGAGGGCGACTGCAGTGTGTGTGTGTGTGTGTGTGTCTGTGAGAAGATCTGATGCAGAGAGGAAAACAGGAATAGATGGAATGGAAAAAAAGAAGCCGATGGGAAAACCGGAGGAAAGGGACCTGCAGAAGTAGACGCACAGAGAGAGCTGCCGCCCACGCTTGCCGCCGCAGCGAGACACTGCCTCAAACATTTAACAAGCCTCTGAAACAAAACTCATCACTGTTACTCACATTTTATGCTAGAATATGTGCAAAACACACGTTTATCTGGTTAAAATGCATGTAAAAGAGAAGAACAAAGAAGTGTGGATGGGGAGGATGGAGAGGAAAAGGCCGTGGTGAGGGTCTGGACAGGACAACAGGAGGAAATGGAGATGCTGTTTTACCTGGCGTCAGCTTCACTGTAATATTCTCTGGCTACGATGTCTTCAAACAGCTCTCCACCCGTCACACTACAGGACAGAGAGAGAAGATATCGGTACCACGGTCACCATATTCACATTTATTCTGTGGTTTTTCAACTTCAGTTTGGTGTGCTTTACACCGGCAGAGCAAAATCTGTGTATTCATATTAAAAAAAGCATTCGCAGCATGGCTGGGTACAATGGGTACAATGAAATGGAGCAAATTAAAGAAAAGTAAAAGTCAAATAAAAGATAAAATAAGAATGCAAACAAAATGAAGCAAAACTCTAAAAAATAAATAAATACATTTAAAATAATGAATTGAAAATAATTTAAAATTAAATTAAATATTAATATAATAAAATGTAAAAATTGTATTTAGTTTTAAAAATTGTACAAATGTAAAAACAAAATTTAAAAAAATAATTTACAAATGTACTACTAATAAAATTAATAAAATAAACGAATACTACATAAATACATTAATTAATTAATTCAAAATAATTAATTAATATATGTTAATATTTTTAAATTAAATATTTTTGGATGCAATAAACATATTATAAAATAAAATAATAATATTAATAAAATAATAAATTAAATATTTTAAATTAAATAAACTGGTAATAAAAAGAATAAAACTAACAATAAACAGCTAATAAATAAATGGTAATAAATATATTAAACTTGTAATATAAATTCAAATATTATATATAAAAATAAATCGTTATTAAATAAAAATAATAATAAATGTAAAACATAACTACTAATAAAACTAATATAATAATAAAAAATAAATGATAATAATTAAATTAATAATCAAATCTTATTTTAAATTAAATATTTTTGGTTATATAAACAAATATTAATAAAATAAAATAAAATAAAATAAGAATCAAGGAAGTAGCAATTTAACCAAAAAGAATAAATTAAATAAATTTGTGTTATTCAGTACCTTTTTTTTTTTTTTTTTTACAATTACTAGCATAAGAAAAATACTTTGTCCTATGCTAGGTTGGGTCTCGTTCGGTTGATTCATGAGAACAGACTGGCTCAACCAATGGCACAGTATTTAGTATTTAGAGATCGCATACTTCAATTTGCAAGTAAACTAAAGTGCAAATTTTTGTATCAAAAGTAGCAAATAATGTATCAAGAATGTATAAATAAATAAAGCAGCATTTATTAAACAAGTACAGTTAAGGAAGATAAACTAAAGATAGCAGTATTGATCTAGTGTGGTTGTGCATGACAAGAAAATTAAGCGAGCGAGAGAGAGAGAGAGAGAGAGAGAGAGAGCAGTATGGATGGGGGAATCCTCTAGAAGAGAGAACACTGGGGCTTCGGGGGGGGGGAAACTCCTGCTGCAGGATTTCTCTTTGGCTGGGCAGCCCAGCTCTGTTGCTATGGAAACTGGCTCTCAAGCGAGTGGGGGAGAGAGAGAGAGAGAGAGCGAGAGATAAAGAGAGATGCGAGGGGAAGGTAGAGTGGGTGGGCGTCTGTTGAAGCGCACTGAGCAAAAACAAAGCAGAGAGAGAGGGATATAATGCGCCATATTATATGGAAGCACTTACAGGTCAAATAAGAGGTAATGGAAGCCTTCCTCTGATATACTGTCATGGAGCCGCACTGCATTAAAGAGAAAGAGAGTCATAATTTCATGACATACTTTCATTTGCCATTCACTCAAACTCAAACAGCACAATTCGAAGAGCAGTTTCATGGGCTGAAAACATATGCTTTCTATATTAATGCCCCTCTTAGCTAATTCAAACCAGACCGTGTGGCACCTGCATCCTTAAAGAGGGATTTCACATTGATTACGTCATGAATGGAGAAGTTTGGGTATATTTGTGAAGCTGACTTTAATGGACTCACCGATATTGGGATGTTTAAGCAGACGGCAGATACGGGCTTCCCGTTCCAGCTTCTGGTGATCTGGGAAAAGAATTGGGTCCGTGTTAAGCCTCATGTAATGGAGAAACTGCAGATGGAGCAATTAAATGTTAAAAAAGCCTTTTTAACCAATTAACAGTTTGCAGAAATCTTTTGTGGAATTTCATGAACTTTGAGGAAGTTTAGCTACTAGAAAACCATGTTAGCCCTTTCACTTTCACATGAATTTTAGTGAACCGCACGCAAGTTAACTAACCAACATATGCCAGATTACCAAGTATTACAGCAAATCAGGGTTATTATCGTTAACTAAAACCATAAAAAAATCTAAAAATTAACTGAAATCAAATTAAATATAAAAAACTATTTCAGCTATTTGCAAAGGCAACATTTCTAATTTTCGTTTAGTTTAACTCAAAGTACTAAAATAACCCAAACTAAATACTATAACTAAAACTAATAAAAATTATACAGACCATTAAAAAAGACTTTAAAAAAAGGAGAAAAACACACAACAAAATTACTAAAACTAAAATCATTCAGAAAATATAAAAATACAATCTAATCTGATTAGTGCTGTCAAACGATTAATCGCGATTAATCGCATCCAAAATAGAAGTTTTTGTTTGCATAATATATGTGTGTGTACTGTGTATATTTATTATGTATATATAAATACACACACATGCATGTATATATTTTAAAAATATTTACATGTATATATACTATATATTTATATTTCATTTATATTTAAATATAAATATTTTATATTTATAAACAAAACATATTTTTCTTAAATATATACATGCATGTGTGTGTATTTATATGAATATGTGGAATTTTGAAGTGTTCCTTATTTATTCCTATATAGTATTCTTGATTTTCTTGTAAAACATATCCCACTGATATATTGCCAAAAACTACAACAGTATACCAATAACACTAAAATAACACCACTGCAGTAGATTCAGACTGTTAGAAAATCACGCTGATGCAAATACACTACACTGAAATGTCATGAAATAGTAAGTTGGCACTATTTAATCCACAGGGGTTTGGTTCGATCGTGACAATTGATTATCATCATTATTTTTCCCCACCCACACATCCTTCTTCCATCAGCAGAAAAGTCATTTCAGAGGTGGAGAAAGCCATTGCATTATGAAGAAAGATTATGAAAACCAATGAACCATGCACAATAAGACCATGAATATTTATATAATAATTTATATATAATTCTGAAGGATTGTGATATTTGTTTTTCTCTCCAGTCAAACAGTTCCTGCTCAATTCACACTGATCTCAGATCAGATCTTGTTAAAGCGGTCTGCACATCACTTCAAACAAGGCAGCAAAGGTCAGACTCAGCATCACGCAGACCACAGGGTCTACTGTAAACCACGCGGCCAACCGGCGGCTGGAGATCGCGCAACCTCTACTAGTTTGAGTGTGGAGCACACGCTCGACTCAAACGAATCTGCGTGATATGGAGAGACAGATGAGCGCAGCCGAGAGGCCTGGACCGCTCCGGCACACCCCACGGAGGAAGCCTGCTGTCTGCCATGCATGAGTCATACGGGAAAGAGGCCGCAGATCGTCTACAGCGCTTCACGATTCAGAGTCCTGATAAAAACACACACGGCTGGCTGTCCATCATCCCAGCATCATTGAGAGTTCCCAAATGGACTAATATGGATCGCAGCTATCATTAAAAGTCTGACTGGTGATGTTTAACATGAGAAATCAAATTTTCTTTCTGATGTACTATAAAAACATAAATTTCTTCTGAGCTGCAAATAGAACATGTATCAAAACCCAATTGTATGATAGAGGGTGTAAAATGGTCATAAAAAAAAAAAAAGGAGTATTTTGGTACAAAAACACCACTCAAAAGTTTGAGGTTGGGAAGATTTTTTAATTATTTTTTTTAATGATTTTTTAACCGAAGCTGCATTTAATCACAAATACAGTAAAAATACTAATATTGTACATGGTTATTATCATTACCTAAAATTTACCTAAAAAAAACATTTAAAGGGGTCATATGATGCTTTTTTAAAGATCATTATTTGGTGTATTTGGTGTAACAGAATATGTTGACATGCTTTAATGTTCAAAAAACACATTATTTTTCAAATACTGTACATACTGTACGGTCCTCTATGCCCCGCCTCTCTCAAACGCTTCGTTTTCTACAAAGCCCCCTCCTTTTGACTTGACTAATAACAAAACAGTAGCTGATTCAGAAGCGCTAGATTGTCATAGCAAAGTCAGAATTACCTCCTCTCCTAGGTTCACGAAACGGTCGTCCATAAAATGCATTGCTGTTCTGTTGCAAGTTGCTGAAACCACACCTTCTTTCTTTGCGTGCACATTTGGGCGGCATTATGCAAATATTTCCACATAGTGAGGTAGATATGTGGGGGCGTGTTAGAACGAGCCGTTTTAGGGGGGCGTGGCAGAGTCTTAACTTTGATAAAGAATATCTCTTTGGTTTTGAGACTTTAGTCTTTGCAACTTCAGGGATCTTATCTATGCACAATCAGCTTGTAACACTCCAAAGAGAAAGGAAAACTTGAAATCGCATCATATGACCCCTTTAAGAAAAAAAAAAATTTTTTTTTAAACATTAAGTAACCTTTAACTGAACTGAACCTTTAACTTTAACTAGGCATGGGACGATAACCGGTTTCATGGTATACCGCGGTTTGGAAAAGTCACGGTTACAAAACCACTAAAATTTTCCGTTATACCATTCCTGCGGTATGCACAGTTTTTTTACATGTCATCAAAGACGGAAAGTGCAGGACTCCCTCAGTTGTCTGCAGCGAAGAGCGTAACAAGTCACACGACCCCTCCCCGTCCGGTTGGTGCGAGCGGTCAGTGAGAGTCACCTGTGTGTAGGATTGCCGAAGGAGGTGAATCCCTGGAACTTTTTCCCCCGTTATTAAAAAATGTATGATATCACTCATATAAACTGCTACTGAAGCTATAGTCAGTTTACAGAACATTACTGTGGCCTCATTGCAACCCTCCCAAACACACTCACACACACACACACACACACACACAACAGCTCGTGAAGTTGTCACATCAAGCAGTGCGACTGGTGTGAAGCTGTGAGAATGCTGACACCCAAACACCACAAAACGCCTCTGCAGCAAAGAGCATCAGACCCTGCCGAGACGAGAGAGAAAGACTCATCCGATCCCATCTCATCACCAGACTACAGTAATGAAGCACACCTGTGTACATCACTCACATTACAGTCACATTCTGCAATTATCAAGCATTTTAATTATATCTCTGAAGTTCACTTACAGTCAAAAACACTCACAAATGTCTAACATTTCAAATTAAATGAATGTCACTGCACCTCTAAGACATTTGTAAACTACCTCCTGAATCCCATCAATATGTAAATTACCTCATGAAATGGCATTCCCAACCCATTTACGTAATGCGACATATTTCATAAGGGTGGCACAATTTGGGGAAAAAACTCATTGTGTTTTTTGTTTTTTTTTAACTGCAATTGCAATTTTAAAATGGCAATTAAATTTGTTAAAAAAACATTTCCAGATTTTACTGAAAAACTTAAACGTCATTATTATTATTATAATTATTAAAATATTAAACTAAATTCCTATTAAATATTACTACTGTAATATTTTACTGTAAAATAAAAAAATAGAAAGAATAATTTATTTGACAATAAAACGGTACAATTACAGTACTGTTCAATAGTGATCTTAATTTTCAAACATTAAACTATCAAGCTTTTATTTTGTCAGAAAAATAAGAAATATTACTTTTGTAATATTCTACTGTAAAATAAACATGTTTTATGAAAAAACAATTGTATTTTATAGCAAAACTATAAAATTATAATACTTACATTTATTGTTGTCTTAATTTCTTCATTTTCGAATGTCAAACTATCAAGCTTTATTTTGGCAGAAAAAATAAAGATTACTTCTGTAATTATCGTTTTATGAAAAATAATCGACAGTAAAACTGTAAAATTACAATACTAACATTTATTGCTCTCAAGACAACTTTTATGGTTGTCTTAATTTCAAACATTACACTATCAAGCTTTCATTTCGTCAGAAAACAAATACTTCAGCAAGCTGCAAAAATAACTCGTATCAAAACCCCAATCAACTTCTAAAACTCAGAGTGTGTAAAATGGCAATTAAAAGCTAACTTATGACTGTTTATTATTATTATTATTAAAATAATTTGATAGTTATTGACATTTAATCTCAAAAAATTTTGCCCAAATTATGCAGCCAAATTTACTTTGATTAATAGTGCTGTCCTAAAACGGGATATTCAACCATAAAAAACATAGGCCAGGACTTTAGTTTTTCTATTGGGAATTGATTAATTGCACATTTAGCAGATGCTGTTATCCAAAGCGACAATCAGTTCATCATAGGCAAAGAACATATTCCAACAAAATGCCCAAGACAAATAAATACAGGCAATTTTGATGCAAACAAATCTGCCAGGAGGCAAACTAAAGATAATCAGTGTTTCACACAGAGGACGCCGCTTATTTGAGACCAACTGTATGCAATCAAATGCAACTGTGCTCATGTTTGCATGGCAGGATAATAGGACTGCAAGGAACAATTCCAGCTCAAACAATCGATTTTATTGCTATTTATCCCAGCAGTAAGCCGTTATAATTGGAGTCGTTTGCCCCGATCAATCTAGTGGTTTTACTCCTGTGTTGCATGTATGTGTGTGACACTTTGGGTAAATCCAGGTCAACTCCATACTGCATTGCAGGTGCTGCGATTATGCATATAAAGTATTCACAGCAAATCACAACTTCCCCAAAGCAGCTCTTGTTGTATAATAAGAGAGTCCTTGCTGAGGAAGGGGCTGTGTCGTCATTGGCTACGCTCGGTGTCAATCACTCCACCCAGGCCCCGCCCTCTCACATTTGTTCCAGTTTCCACTTGCCACATTAACTCTTTCAGCGCTGGCACTGCCTTCACATGACATCGAAACCCTGCTTCCGGAGCAAAACCGCAATAATATGAATGTACCCTGATGTCTGAGTGAAAGCGAATCTTCGCATGGGTGTCAGGGGACAGTGAGGTGTCAGATGTGGTCACAAGCTGAGTCAAAACAACAGCAGCGATGACGAAGCGTCAATCTGAACTTTTTCCACTTGAAGTGTGGCCTGGCTTTGTTTCAGAAGCGCAGCATCAAACAAAAGCCCTTGTGTTTGAGTACTTGAAGCCGTGGGTGTGTGTTCGAGCGTGTACATGAGTCCCGTGCTCTTGGCATGTTGGCCGTTCTGACATGCTGTCAGCGGTGAGCCAAATGGTCAGGCTACCTGTGATGACCTGCAGACTGTATGATTGGCCCAAGTGCGCCAACACTTCCCAAAACACACACAGACCAGTTCCACCCAAAATATCACAGAGCACCACAACAAACATGTCTATTACAAGCGCTGACATCTTTATATTCCCCTAGTCATTTAAAGTGACCATATTATGCTCATTTATAAGTTCAAAATTTCATTTTTCGGGTCTGCTAGAATTAGCATTAAAGGTATAATTCACAAAAGAAGATATATTGAAGAGTAGCCACTGACTTCCATAGCATATGTACTTTTTTTTTTTTTTTTGTCAGAAACGACGGTAATTTTTCTATTTATACTTTTTTAGAATACACGACCTTTCAAAAGTTTGGGCTCAGTAAGGTTTTTTGTTTTGAAAGAAATGAATACTTTTATTATCCAAATATGCATTAAACTGATCAAAAATTACATCTATATCGTTACAAAAGATTTATATTTCAAATAAATGCCATTCTTTCTATTCACTGAAAAATGTATCATGGATTTCACAAAAATCTAAAGCAGCACAATTGTTTTCAACACTGATAATAATCAGAAATGTTTCTTGAGCAGCAAATCAGCATATTAGAATGATTTCTGAAGGATCATGTGACATTGAAGACTGGAGTAATGATGCTGAAAATTCAGCTTTGATCACAGGAATAAATTACATTTTTAAATATATTAAAATTGAAACCAGTTGTTTTCAACTGCAATAATATTTCACAATATTACTGTTTTTACTGTATTTTTGATAAACTAAATGAAGCCTTGGTGACAAACTTTCAAAAACTTAAAAAATCTTACCATCCCCAAAGTTCTGAATGGTAGCGTACTTTAAATATATATATATATATATATAAAGAATATTAAAAATTGTATTCCAAAAATTATGCCAATTTTTTTTATAAGAAAAGTATGTCATTTAAACAGTGTTAATTTTGACAGCAAATTTTGATTTAGTTTTAGTCATAGCCTTTTGACTAAAATGCCATTTAGTTTTAGTCATATTTTAGTCATCTGAATTGTTTTTAGTTTTTGTCTAGTTTTAGTTGACTAAATATCATAAGATTTTAAGCTGCAATGGATGCAATGTACTGATACAAGTTCTCCCTGCTGTTTACGTTCACTTAAGACGTAATCAACTGTGTTTACGTGAATACTCGTCAAAACGGACAATTCAACATAATTTTGTGTGTAATTCTCCATTCATGCGACGCGAGAGAGTACTCGCGCGCTGTGAGACGCGCTTTCTGTGTGTGTGTGTGTATGCTTCAGTGTCTGCTCTCAAAAAACCGGATCGAATTGAGTTCTCTCTTGCGTCGTCAGATTTATCCATATGTCTGCTCTTCTCATATGACATTTTTGAACGTTTTATGCGACGTGCAGCAAGTGTATTTTATCTTATGTCCCGCCGGTTCATATGTACACTAGGGCTGTGTATCACCAGCAAAGTCACGATACGATACGTATCACGATACAGAGGCCACGATACGATACGTAGCACGATACATGACTGCACTGAATTTCACCTCAGCAGAATTTAGTAAAACAGCTGTTTATTAAACACTGCACACTATAGTGCCATTTCTAACTATTGGCAGAGCAAGCAGTTGACCTCTGCATTATGAAGGGCCTCCAGAACTGTACCACAGTACAATATAGGTAATGGCATATGTTTCATGTTTACATTGTGCACTCCCCACCAGGTACAATATTCTGATTGTTTGCATGATAGACACCGATTTAATGGCTGTGACACACAACATGCCTTTATTGTTAAAATTAATAAAACCACTTCTCATAAAGAACAAGAACATGGTCTTGTTTTTAATGAAATACCAATGGTTATATAGGCTAAGTATGCATTCTTTATAGCAACTTGTTTACCATATTCTTCATTCTTTCAAGCAGACATATTTATTTCTACAAATAAATTTAGACTAATCTTTAGGGCTACTAAAGTTTTTCAGTCAAGAGCAATGCGTGATTTTCTGTCTTTCCTTTGCTGCTTGATTAACATCAATGACTTGGACAATAGCAACTAAATTAGGCAGCTATCCCTTTAAAACCGAATGCACAGCTGCAATGGATGCAATGTACTGATACACCAAAAATGTCAATAGATTTACGTCATAGTTTTTGTCATTCAAAAAGAGTTTTAGTTCGTTATCGTCAGTGAAAAAAATGTTGTTGACGAAAATTATGACGAAAATTATTCGTCAACGAAATTAACACTGCATTTAAATAATAATTCCAATTTGTTTGCTTGAAACAAACCTATTATTTTCAGCAATTTCAGACCACTGTACATAAATACTAAGGTATGTATCAAATATCTGTAAAAGACCCAAAATATCCACAGTTTTTTTTAGCCATATTATCCATCTCAAAGTTCAAACCAACCCTCTTTTCCCAGTCCAAAAACATTTTCAAGCAGTCAAGATTTACCTCTTGCCGAGAGCTTTTTGGTGTTGATGATTTTGGCAGCATACTCTTGGCCCGTGCACAGCTTGACACAACGTCGCACCACTGAGAAGGCCCCCCTGAAGAAACAGACAGAGAAGAAAATACACCATTGAACTTGACGTGGAACCCAAAAAATCAGTTCAAAAATGGCTTAAAAGGGACACTTCTGTTCTCTATTTGTGTTCCATGGAAGCAAATGTTTTATTTTTGGGTGAACTGTTAAGAAGAAGAACAGTTATGCACATCTAGCTCTTTACCAAAAGCATCAACAGAGCCAGATCAGAAATGAAAACAACACGCAGGTGTTTGATGCGCAAATATTCATGATATTCACATGGGAACAAAATGTAGAACACACTCTGTCTTTCAAAAGCCTCCTTGAGTCTATTTTCAGCAAGACCTGCGTTATGAAAATCACTTGAGACAGTCATGATAACGGTCTGATGTCATTCCTTACTGGCTAATTTTAGCACACCTTGTTACAGTTACACAATACACTCGGCATGTCTCAAGCAGCCGCTCCAGACCAGTGACTTCCAGCCTCTCACCGACAGGCTCAGATGCCCTTGGAAACACCCATATGATGATAACGTGATAAAAACAGACCATATGCCCCTCTGTGACCTCAGGCAAATCACCTGCGCACGATATGCTTGGCTAGCGGGCTAGAAGAAACGAAGCCTGGGAGATCATGGGCATCATTAGATACAGATTATTATTCAAAACATCATGCAACATCATGTCAATGTCAATCATGCACTTTCAGTAACTGACTTTTTGGATATGGTAACATGGTAGTACTATGTTAGGTAGTACCATGTAACTTAGTGATGAATACTAAAATTCTAGCGAATGCTAATGCGCATATAATCATTTAATCTTCTGACCAATAACCAGGGTTAATAGAGTTAACTAAAACTGAAATTAAAATTAAAACCATACAAAAATTGTTACTTGAAATACAATTATATATAAAAAACTATTTATTTCAGCTACTTGCCAAGGCAACATTTCTCAATTTTAATTTAGTTGACTTGATGCACTAAAATAACAAACTAAAACTGAAATAAAATTGAATAAAAACTATATAGATATATAGAAAAAAAACTACTAAAAATGATCAAAAGACAACAAAATTACTCAAATTAAAATGAAAACAGAAATAATAAAAATAAAAACTGATTTAAATTCGTAATGAAAAATATAATAATCTGAAGTATAATACTGCCGATAACTGATAAAAAAATGATTATATTAAAATTCCATAATATTTTGTCTAAATAAATGAAAAAATAAAACACTAAACAATAAAATCAATCACTTTAAATGCTACAAGTTAATTTAGGCATCAAAACATTGTAAATTATAGTAGGAAAAATGGATATTCATTTTAATATTTGCTTAACATTTCACAGCTATTGAACTATTAAAGTTTTTAAAGATTAAATATTGGCCTATATATACAATATTATACAAATATATATTGCACTGCACATATATCATTACTGTACCATGGTGCCATTGCAGATAGGTCAGCATATTAACACGTTAACATATATAATGTAGTGGTTTTATGATGGCTGAAATTAAAGGGGTCATATGATGCGATTTCAATTTTTCCTTTCTCTTTAGAGTGTTACAAGCTCTTGGTGCATAAAGAAGATCTGTAAAGTTGCAAACACTAAAGTCTCAAAACCAAAGAGATAATGTTCTTTTTAGCAGCATCATATGACCCCTTTAAGACAATATATATATGATATCACACTATTCAATTTAAAGACAGCACAAACACAAACACAAGCATAACAACTGCTGTGATTAAATTGATTTTGCATAATATTTGCTAAAAATAATCCTTTTGGTATTTACTAAAGTAAAACATCTCAGAGCTGTTAAAATAAAAGTCCCGCTTGTGACTAGTGGTCACAATATTTGGCATTTTTCAAATATCGGCATTGGCCGATAAATTTTTTCTGTTTGGCCGATGTGTTCGCACCGGACTTTTATTTTGACGGCGCCGAGAACGGCAGCGCCTGAGCACACAGTGCTCACATTCTCCCTCGTTCACTGTCGTCGTTCAGTTATGTCTAATATGGATAAGCCTATCTAATAATCAGATAGAACTGTTAAACAAAGGAATTAAAATGTATACAAAAAAGTATTATAACGATTGCTTTAATATTATTAGTAATAGAAAGGCAACATTATAATACTTTCTCGTTTGCCTTCAGCAAATACGCATCTATATCATTTAAACAAATCTTTGAATGACTAATGAACATTTAATTTCACAAACCTTGCAAACTTAGTCGAATC